AAACATTGCTACTGCCTTTACATTTCTATGGCCATGTAGCGTAAAAGATATCACTACTTCCTTAAGTCATAACCTCACCCTCACTGTAAAGTGAACCTAAGTTGTATCACCACTATCTTTTGTCCCTGATCTTCAAGATTCTTAGAGAAGTGGATGAATAAAGGTATCTACCGCCACGAGTTCGGGTCGTCGTGATATACAGGAACACAAGGGTCATATTTTCACCATCTTTTAACATAAAAATATCAGTTACGCCTATAGCAGCAGTGTTATCCGAATCAACTTCACTGTCCCGGCTGTCCGTTGTCTAAATCTTCTTTAATTAAGCAAATGTTGTCAGTCCTCTATTTAAAGGGCAGATATCAAAAGATTTCGCCATTTTTCTTCGAGGATTAAGTGATGATGGACAAAATTCTTCCATGCCGGATTAGAGTTAGAGTGATGTTCACATAGACAGTCAAGTTCCCAGAAAAATATGCGAACTCCTCGCTACTAATACACTTTAAAATTGTTTTCGGGATTCACGATATGCCTTTATCATAAATACGAAATACACTTCACCGTACAACCCCTTGACACATTACCGTTTGTTTTAATCATTATTCACTTTATGATGTTAGACTCATGGATAAAGGGAACCCGTAAGATTCTACTGAATTTCATGCCTCTGTATAACACTGATACTCTACTCACATTAGTATTCCACAAATACTCTCTGCAATTCTCACCCATACTCAGAAGTTCTGCATATCGTTTCATATGAGCAATTTATCGATGAATTTGAAAAGCTATTTTTATAACTTTCTTCCCAGATGTCGAAAGGTGTCCTGTCTTCTTTCTAGAAATAACTGTTGTAAAAAATGATTCCATCAGGTATGCTTCAGCCAAGTTATGGGGAGCACATTGCTCATATTGAGTCAGGGCTGTCCGTATCATAGTGACTTTTATGTTCACGCGTGTCGTGTCATCTGTCCGTTCTTTCCACCATTTCGCCTTCCAGTTTTTAACTACAGTGACACATCTTCTAAAGCAAACTGTGTTAGCTGCTCGCATAAACTGAATTTGACACAAGCCTAAATTTTGTAGTCAACGGAAAAAACAGCTATTCTCGCGCCGCTTAGTAAACTCTCATGCTTTCGAGTTCTTCAGTGCCGCCCATAAGCATCAGATCACCTTAATTTTCTTGGAATCATCATCCATGCTTCAGAGCGCTAGGCTCTCCACTGACTTGATGCTGACATCATGTGGGGCTTCTACTTCTCTTCCAAAAGCTAAATCAGAATATAATCTGCTACCAACCGTTTTTAGGTCATGGGATGCCCAGCTGAAGGGATAGTCGAGTAAGAAAAATCATTGTTTTTGTCATGCTGGAGTAAATAAACCTGCAGTAAACAAAAATAAAATTTGTCATCTGAAAACTTCCATAAGTGTCCCGCTGCCAAACCATTTCCGACTATCTCGCTCTTCACTGTGATGATTCTCGTTCTTCTCCATGATTTATTTATGAAGAAGATGCTTCACGATATAATCGAAATCAGAGATCAGCTTAAAACCTTAACTGGAATAAATGATATTCCAAAATAGCTACACCAGAATCAAGTTTCATAAACATGCAGACCGTCGGAATATGAACAACAGCCAAAGGCCTAAAGTTCCTCACCGATTGAACCTTGAAAATTTTTCACCGCTGCTCCGGCTGCCGATTCTAGCTGTATTACGTTCAAGCCAAGATTACTGAGGTGCTGAAAAATTCATCGTACTGTTATGGTAATTAATGATTAGTAGTAAATATATTAACGCCTAATACCTTGTGATTTACGATTATTTCCAGGTCCATCTTGCGCGCTTCAACAAGTGATTTAATTGACGACATGTTCATCCACATGCTATTTGTATTGAAGTACCTGTTAAAAAATATATATCAACTAAACGACAGAAAAAATCGTTATATTTGGAACTCGTTGAAGTTTCTGCGAAATGCCTCAAGAATGACGTAATTCAAAAAAAGCTTCGAAGTGAAGAAGCTGCAGTATGAATATGAAGGTATTTTGCAGAACTGATCAAGAAAGTGATAAAAAAAGAGATTATACTGATCACGGAATGTGGCATAAAGACAACGGTGCCCACCTATGGAATGTGGCTGCTAGAATGGTGCTTCCAGTCGGTCAAAACAATAAGTAAAAACTACTGGAGAGAACAATACCGTTCGCATCAAGCAGCAGAGAAAATTGCACGAGCTGCAAGCACGCCCTCAGGAAATATATAACCACTGCTTCTAGTCAGATCGAACTTTTTGGGACAGCCTGGAGGTAAATTTGAGCAACACGAGATTCGAAGAAACTTGAGTGGATATTCCAGTTCGCACTTCGGCGTATCTGATTCTATCATTTCCACTTTGGATATTATGGTTGGCGTTGAGAATGAATTTGCCTATGCAAGTAAAAGTGTAAATTGTCTTAAAGAAGAAATCATCTCTAACATTGGCATATTCGTTAACAGTAACACCAGTAAGTCGTGCCATACTTTGGGTGATTGTCATACCAGATGATAAAGGGATTGAAAACCAAACTGAAGGGTAACACCTTGATAATCCATTTTGCAAACGAAGGTGCGATCTCAGTGGTGATGCCTAAAGAAGATGCAGCACATGCTAGAACACCTAGGAGACAGTGACATTTGTTTTGGACGTGTGACAATCCTGATAAAGCCATTGAACCATTCACCAACAGCTCCTAAAAATGTTTTTAAAAAGTTGCAGGAAAAAGTTATCACTAAGGATCACCACAGAATACAAGCAGAGAATACGCCCATCGTTGAATCCTGCAAGACATTCTAGCTTTATGTACTGGTTAAATTCACAAAGTATGACATATGCCTTGGCTGATCATCCCAGCAAAAGCCAGAAACATGATCAAATTCAGATCAACTCGATTTGTTACTAAATCTTGACCTTAACAGGATGGCCTACAGCGTGAAGGAGAATCATGAGCTTATACGCTGATAAAAAGAATTCTAAATTCAAGTATTTCATAATATCCCTGGACATCATAGCTGTTTTCAAAAATATGAATAAAAACACGTTAAATAATTCTCTATACATTCTTGCATTATCTGCCGTCAGCGAGTCAGTCCTTTTTTATACTTTGGCTGTGAATGAACTTCGGATATGATGACATGTCCTGGAAAAAGTTGTAAAATAGTTTATTCCAGTCAGCTTGCGTCAATGACTGCTTATCCTTTCGGGTGGATATAGTTTAATCCAGTATACGATCGACATTCTTCGTCTCCGTTGTTGGACTTCGGATTCAAAGATTTCTTTCGGCTACATTCCATTACTGGATATGGGGGAATATCAGAAATTCAGTCATGAAACGAAAAAGAAAAATAATTCATCACAGAAAGAAACATCAAACAACTTGAATGTATCAGACTGGTTATAATCTCTGAGTTTAGATTTCATAATCAATGCTGAACTGGATCCAAATTGGACAATACCGATACGGTCTTTTGCTAGATGGTTGAAAAACGAATTACCGCAGAAATATGAGTGCGATCAGACCATGCACCATTATCTGAATACCGGTACCGGAAGTTCTATGACAGAATAACTTTCCAAGACACAGTCGAGGAGAAAATCTAATGGCGAAGAAATCAGGAAATTTCAGTAAAATCAAGCTAAGCACAGACTCTCTAAAAATCGCGCTCTCACCCGTATCGGTGGTAGCTGACAACAATCAAAGTAAAAGATTGCTCTGAGGTTCGATAGGCTTGTTCCTCTTTACCTGACACAGTAGCCATGGAGGCCTGTCATGAACCCAAAAAGAAGAAGTGAAAGAAGTGTTAACTGATCATGAGTGCTGAAGGATGTCTGCTGAAGTTTAGACAATTAAACAGGTGTTCTGACCCTCCTCTTAGCAGAGAAGTCCAATTAATGGAATAAGAAGCTCAGGTCAGTACTAACAAATTAACAAGAAGGACAGAGTTGGAACATCATCAGAACATTTGAGAGCATCGAATAATGACACCGGTTCGAAAAGGTTAGTTCTGTATCTGCATATTTTGTTCTTTGAAAATAATTTCAACATTGTTAAAGGAATAACAGCACTGAGCTTTAAATAATGCAAAATCCCTTAGCAGAAAGCAAGATTTCAGCCATATTAATAAGCTTGTAGAAAATGCAAGCGTTGTTCCTATAGTTCGGAAAGCTTTATTGAAAATGACAACTTACTTGAAATGGCTGACAGATGTAAAATCATCGTAATGGTCCTTGGACACCTGTGCCAACTCTAGGAGCCTTAAACGGCCGTCGTAGTTAATCAGAGTACCACCCTATCAAGGTCGAAGTAAACGTAATTTGGCTGAACACCGATAAAAAGCAATACCTTTATGTCTGCTCGGGTTTTGTCCGTGAGTTCCATGATGAAATCATTTTGAGGATGATTGCACAAGAAATTTAGTATATCTAAAATTTTTAAAAAATCACATATAAAACATAAAACTGAAAAGTCGCGTCAAGTGTATTAGCCTATGTAACGGGTGCTCCCATCAGCATAAGCGCGTCCTTACGTTAAGATCATACAGGCCCATTAAACATATATGCACAGAAGATTAATCGCAAATCGGAATATTATGTACAAGTAACTGCTCATGCAACTCTGGCTGTCTCAGAGTACTTGTCAGGAAAGGTAAAATGGATCACCGGTACAGAACTGTCCGAGCTGGGAAAGCGTTGATCCGGCTGCGGGTGCCCTGATGCAAGGACAGTGCGCGCTGAAACTTTGGGTGCAACGGGTGATTGCCATCATCCAACGTGCTATGCCCCAGGCGAGAGGCAGCCTGCAAGTGTTATTCTCGCAATGGGACCAGCAATTTCTTCTTCAGGGATTCTGCTAATCCTAACTATTAACAATACCGATCGACGCAGTAACTTAAATTCGTTCTTCATTAAGCCTGAGAATATTACTGGACTGCAGTAAGGGTCAGGGGAACGATGCATCCTTAAAACGATGAGGCATACAATTTCGTTTGACGAGAATACACGCATTCTAATTAGCCTCAATTGATAGTAAGGTGCCCTACAAACCTTTGTGAACGAGACTATGTAGTTAGACCAGTAAAGTCTACTGGTCCCAAGGTATTTTGCAGTGTCTCAAGTCTGGATTAACTCACTTTCGAAGCTGATACAAAGTTCGGTGAAGGACAATAGAATAGATGATCTGATGTTCTTCATCCATAAGGTTAGTTGGGCGGTTTTCTGAAGGTAAAATCTCAATTCATTGTTCCTGATGCAGAACTCAGTGTCTTTTTACTGCATTTTGTAGGCTGCAAAAATCCGGCTCCATTCGGATGGAGCAAATACGCACCGTGTTATCAGCGTACTTGATGCAGGAGACAGGACTGGCGGTGTATAACGAGGTCACATAAAAGTTAAAGAAAAAGGTCGATAGCACTGAACCTTGTAGAATGCCCAAGTTGTTCCGCTCGTCAATGAATAGCGCCTTCCAACTCTAACGAACCGTTGACGGATAGAAAAATAATCTGCCGGCGAGCGAGCAAGTTGTTCTCTAAGCCTGAATTCTGCTGATAGGAGAAAAGGCCATCTCTTAGAACTAAGCTGAAAGACACCAAATGATCCGAGACGGTCTTCACAACGGAACTCGAGGGTAGCAAGTCTGCATAGCAGGCTAGAACATCTAGGGTGCAACGACCCCGCGTAAGAGCGAATAGCAAAAGATATTTCGTTTCATGAAATTTACTGATGAGCACCGATCGAACGAAGGTCTCCAATGCTTTAAGCAGCTCAGAGATCAAAAAGACTCAAAGAAAGTCTGGTTTGGCGCAGCAGCCGTCTTTGGAACAGGAATTTTGGATTTCCACCAGCCATCCGGAATGACTTCAGAATGGAGGCAGTTATTAAATACATTGCAAAACACACCACTAATTTCGGTTTTATGCAGCACTAACCCTTTAGCCATAACCACATCTATTCCAGGAGTTCTGTTTAATAATATACCTCAAAAATCTACAGTTATGACTAAGAATGATCAAGAATTCAACATACTAGATACTGAAATACAGAGTGAGACCTTGAATACAAGCAGCAGAAATGAAGTTTCTAGAGAGGATTAAATACGTGATAACATATCCAATTCTAAGTCCGCTAATCAACTTGAGACGCGTCAATGATTCTTGGTTGAGAGCACCAAACCATACAGATTTTTATACTTCTAGTAGCAGCGTGGTGATAAGTGAATGATGACACATCATAGATTTCCTCCTCACGGAAGGAAGAGAAAAAATGGATTAAATCTGATCCAACAATTATATGCTTGAATTTCCTGAACACGGAATAACAGATCAGCTTATCCTTTTGGATTAACCATTAGTAGTTATATGTCAACTATCAATAAAACGACATTAATTAATTGACAAAAGAATTCAGTTGACATTAAAAGTAGTTTGTGTCTATGCGGTGAGCCAAAGCAAAAAGTAAACAAAACTTAGAAACCTACTCAGATCCACCGTGGCACCAAGATTATCGATGTTGGAAACAAAACAAAATTCTTTTCCATCGGCTAAGAATGTATCTAATAAACCAGATGCGTGAAATGACTCATAGAAGTTGCCGTGGCCAGGAGGATACCACCTGAACGAAAACTGCATTAAAATATTTATCCAGTCATAGTTTCGAAAATAAAAACAATTTTTTCAATCAACAAACTAGTTCATTCATTCAGCTATACAAACAATCGTGAGCCATAGTGAAAACCGTGTACAGGGTACACGCGGTGGAAATTGACTTTCTAGGATGAATCGCTGGGCAAAACGTCTAGACAGAGTCCGGAGTTCATATATCTGAGAAAGCCTTGTAGCTGTTGCTGTTTATATTGAAGTCACAGCGGCGACGGTTTGGACATGCTTTGCAAATGCCTCTAGAAGGGAAGGCGAAACAGCTACTACTTGTCTGACCAACTGAAACGGCTACATACACATGGGGCAAGTGACCCGACAGACTCTCTTCTAGATTCAGACCTTTTTCTGAGGAAGTTGAGACACTGGCAGAGGATTAGTAACGTAGGAGACACTGCATAACCTTGATATCTCAGTAACCCAAGATGCCAAGCAGTTATCTAACTGAACGACAGCAGGGCAATTCAAGATCTTGTCGGCGATGCGACAGTAGGAACTTAGAAGCAATATTTTTACCCATTAAATCAAGTGCAACAGCTCCAAATCTTTTCGTTCTACTTTAAGAAAGTTTGAAAATCAGTCTCAGACGGATATTTCAGAAAGTAAAAAATTCAATTAAAAGTATGAAATTAAACAATCAGGCTATCGCATACAATAAATGAATATTTGTAGGCAGGAGTATATCAGATAACGCACCAGATAACTTCTTTAAGACCAGATATAACAATGAATGCACCGTCTTCTTAGTCTGAGTTCGATTAAAATGATGTGAGATGAATCTGGCACTGCATGTGTTTAAATACCATGAAGCTAGGTCTGTTTAAATTATCTCCTCTCATCCAGGCAAATAAAAGCAAAGAACAGTGCAACACGCCTCGAAGCCTGGTCTTGAAAGAGTAATACGTTAACGAATAGGTCAGCATATTTTCAAAACACTTATTTTCCGTTAGCACCATAATCACATGCGAAAAGGTTATAGAAATTTCAGCTAAAGAAACTGTTACTGCAACAGTCTTAAATGTTAAACAGATAATGTAATACGCACGCGTCCAAATCATGCATCGACGATGAATGTGCAGCGGACAATGTCCTAATGATTGGCATCAGTGTTTCCTTGTCGATTCGGGGATAACTGAAGAAAAAACGTGGATTAGGTAACCATCTTCTAAGAGAAAGTTTAACGGCAATGTAACAAACCGGCTCTGGTTGAATGAATAGACTGACACCTTGACATTTCTGTACTTTCGCAAAATTCGTTTCGTATCTTCGTCCGTGCTGAAGCTGTTCATGAGCACCAACGGAATATCCACACCGTAAGTGATGTTCAAATGCTATAAAGCAACCTTTAAACTAATAACAAAGACTAAGATACTAACATGACAATATGTTCGACAGTATGAGCAAAATCTACTGAACCCTATCAAATTTCAGAAATTTAGTTAATCTTATGATCAAATGATGTTTACAATTTACATACTAAGACATGATAATAGCTTGTAGACAATAGTAACGTAACTTGCTATACGCCCACGATTTCAAATCTACAC